ACACACACACACACACACACACACACACACACACACACACACACACACACACACACACACACACAAAAGCACACACAAAAGCACATACACAACACACACACACACACACACACAAAAGCACACACAAAAGCACATACACAACACACACACACACACACACCTCCATGATGTAGTTCATGGCGCGCTTCTCGCGTGTCGTCTGCGACTGTTTGCTGATGTGCTTTGAGCCGCCAGACCGCCGGCTGTTGGTGTGCGCGCTCGACCCGGCCATGCTGCGAACACCAGCGAGGACAGAGGCGCTCAGCACGCCGTGGTCATCGCGCGTGCCGCGTAACGCGTGCTTGCCTCCAGCCACGTGCTGCTGCGGCGGTCCAACACGCTTCACGGCGACGGCGGTGCCGCGGTATTCGCCCTTGACGACAACGCCGTACGAACCGACACCGAGCACCTCGACCGGGTCCTCAAACTTGAGCTCGTAGGGGCGGATGTGCCAGAGGAGGTCGGACTTGTGCTGCTGGTGGCGCATGGCGAACCACACAATGACGACGACGGCGCCAACCACGGGGATGAGCACCGTCACAGCCAGCACGGCGATGGGCGCACACGCGCCGCCAAAGTTGATGTACCCGCTGTCGCACTCACACGCCCCCTCGAGGGTGAATCGGGCATTGGCGGAGCAGGCGGGCTTGCAGGGCTGACACAGGCAATCGTATCCGTCATTGCAGTTGATGCCAGCGAGGGAGCAGCCGGAAGCGACGAGTTCAGGGGATTTCTTGACATATCCAAAGGGACACACGACGGCATCGATGAGGTTGCTCGTGCGCACACAGCGGAAGGAGCCGAGGTCGTCCGCAAACATCACGCCCAGCGACACCTAGTGAAGGTTCGTGGTGGCAGGTGGTGGTGAGAGGTGAGATGGTGGTGGTGGGAAGTGAGATGGTGGTGAGAACAGTGCAAGTGGCTCGTAGATGTATATCGTGACGCTGCACACACACACACACACACACACACACACACGCACACACGCACACACACACACACACACACACACACACGCACACACACACACACACACACAACACCATTGCTACCTGGAGTGCGCGGGTGACGGTGTAAGAGAGAGGCGGCTGCCAGCCGATGTAACCGCCCATGACGGCATACTTGGAGGTGCTCTCGAGAGCGAGCAGTGCATCCATCACAGCTCCCTGCACCTGTTGGGGGGGGGTAAGGAGGGCATTCATGTTGGGAGGGATGAGCTGTGATGAGTTCACAGTGGGAGATGCCACATCTGACAAGCATGCAAGAAAGGACATAACAAGCACGCAGACGCACCCTCAAATGCATACGCACACACACACACGCACATGCACATGTGTATCGCACTCGAGACACACACACACACACCTGCCAGTTAACGCGTGGCATGGATGCAAGAGTCCATTCTGGGGAGAGGACATCGGTCGACGTGATGAAGGGGAAGGCGTCACCCTCCGTGGTGATGGCGCTCTTGGAATGGATGATCTTGATCTCCTTGAGGTCCAGCGTGCCGTTAAACACTTGCGCTAATGGTGATGGTGATGGTGATGCGGACGCACGGCAGAAGTCGAGCGGTTGCAGTGTGAGGAAGAAGGGAAAATGGCAGTCACACACACACACACACACACACACACACACACACACGAACCTTCAAGAACGCCGCTGGTGACGAACCCGACGTCGCTCTTTCCCTCCATGACCTCCTCCACCACCAGATTCTCGTCGTCCGTGAACTTGATCTGTCGAGGGAAACAGAGGGAAGGAGGAGAGAGAGAGAGAGAGAGAGAGAGAGAGAGAGAGAGAGAGAGAGTGTGTGTGTGTGTGTGTGTGTGTGTGTGTGTGTGTGTGTGTGTGTGTGTGTGTGAGTGAGAGAGAGAGAGTGTGTGTGTGTGTGTGAGTGAGTGAGTGAGAGAGAGAGAGAGAGGTGTTTCGGTGTGACATTGCAATGAGTTGCACGCAAGTGAAAGTACGATGATGGCGGAGGACGTTTTGATATCACACACACACACATACACATACAGACATACACACACAGTAACGCACCTGCTGCGTGTCGATGAGAAAGTCGAGGCCTGCGTCGCGGAGCGTGCCCCACTGTGCCTGGAACCCGCCAAAGGTGATGAAGGACACGGCAGCGACTGTCTTGCCGGCAATATCGGGCGCGCTGTTGATGTCGTCGCGGTCGGCACGTGTGAAGATGACGGCGCCAAACTGACTCAGCTGCTCGCCTGAGGGAGGAGGATTAAGGCCGATACAAAAGGTGGTCGCAGGGTGTCGGTGAGAAGGTGGCCACGTGACAGGATACAAGATCATCGCAGACAAAAACACATTGGAGCCACACACACACACACACACACACACACACACACACACACTTGCACGGGCATGTATGTTGCGAAACATACGCGGCTCAAACCAAGTTCGTTGCGGCGCAGGGTGACGAGGGATGACATGGCCAGCTCAGCCTCAGCGCACGTGAAGATGGCCGGGTTGGTGAAGGCAAAGTCAAACTTGTCATCCTTGCCCTCATTCAAGAGATCACGGAATCGCACCGGGTATGTCTGGAACTTGACCAGGCCCTGGAAGCGCTGGCCCACCACGTCGTTCAGGTACTCGTCAAACGTCGGCGCCAGCGTACGGTTGAAGTACTCAAAGCCTGCGGTGGAAGAGCAGAGAGATGTGGCCCGATGAGTGGGAAAGGGATGAGATGCACGATGCAACTAGTAGCCACAGACAGACAGACACACACACAGCACACACACACACACACTCTCTCTCTCTCTCTCGCACGCACAGATACTTGCACACAGACACAGACACAGACACACACACCCATTTGCACACAAACACATACAAGCGCAAGGCACTAACCCTTATCGCTAAGGGCTGCAATGCTATACGTGGTATGGATGGCAGTGGTGTTGTCTGGAAGGGTGATGGTCCTGGTGATCTTGGCGGCAGCGTGACCACTTTGGAGTGCGATCACCACAGTCACAGCCAGCACAACAGCAACAGCGCTAACAGTAGCCATCTGAAGGACATGACATCAGAACCATGGGTCAAAGCGATTGAGGAGTGGGGCAGTGCTTCCACATGGCAGTGCCGTCACATGTCATATGAGAGTGAGAATACACACACGCACACACAAATCTGAACGGCTTCACGAGCAACAGGCGCATGGGTCAGAGCAGAACAGGAACGCAGAAAGAAACACCCTACTGCCGCGTCGAACGCACCTTTCACGAATCGTCTCGTGTATGTCGTTGAAGAGAAAGAAGGTCCAACGGGGGAGATGATGAGGCAGGTGCTTCGATCCGATCTGATGGCTGCTTCCTTCTTTCCTTGCTTCTTTGGACCGAAGGTGCTCACCTCAAGATACGTGGTGCTGATGCGCTTGGCTTTGATGTCGTGGGCGGAGAGATCATGTGCTGCAGTTGCCTAGGTGTGCTGATTGACAGGGGCTCTGGCAGTGCTTGAGCTGGAAACTGTGACAGGTGGGAAATGGCGATCGCACATGCGACGTGGGACATAAGGACATCATTGGGACATTGGCTGCACCAAATTGCTTGTGTGCTTGAGACAGCCTGCACAGACATGTGACAGCAGCTGTCATCATGGCCGCGTTCAGAGCCGCAAGGTGCACAACACAAGGCACGCTTACAGCAATAAACCGGACAAAGTCATGGGGTAAGTTGCGAAACAGCTGTCGTGCCAACAGTGTTGTTGCTCTGGCGCACGGGGATGACGACAACGCCACGACCCAATCAAACGCGTTTCGGCACTTAAGATAGTGACGTCATGATCTGATGCAGACATAACAGGCTGAAGACCCGAGTGTTTGGGCAATGCATCAAGCTATATGTGCATGGAATCGTCGACTTTGGGTGGTTGGCTGACGTTTTGTTTGCTTGGGCGATTTGGTCCGTGTTGTGCAGTTGCGAGTGTGTGTGTGTGTGTGTGTGTGTGTGTGTGTGTGTGTGTGTGTGTGTGTGAGTGTGTGAGTGAGTGAGTGAGTGAGTGAGTGAGTGTGTGTGTGTGTGTGTGTGTGTGTGTGTGTGTGTGTGTGTGTGCACGCGCGTTT